CATCCTCCCTCCCTTAATCCCCTTTTCCCATTCTCCCTTCATCTTCACTTCAAACCCCTTATTTCCTTTCGTTTCAAAGCATTCATTAATATAGACTACTCGTCCCTTGCCTGTCATTCTTTTTTCTGCATTCATCCCCTCCTCTTTTCACTATTTTCCTCGGTTATCCTCATTTTTCGTTCTCCCCCTTGTTTCCCCGTCGGCGATATTTATTAGCCGCGTCACGTACGAGCTCGCGCGCACGAACGCGACACGTCCGCGGTAACGGATCGGCCAATCCCGATCCGGGAGTAGCTTGTTGCACGAGCCAGCGAACAGAGCCAGAGAAAGTGAGTTTCGTATCGTGAATGTCACAGGTCAAAATCCAGCCGGCGTCGTTGGCGGATCTACAACGAGAAACGTGAGCACGCTGCGCTGCGCCGGCCAGATGCGGATTTCTTTGGCCCCGCGAGCGCTCGGACGAGCGAGGGATTATTATGCGTTTCGGAAAAATCGCGGATTGCGAGAGGCGAATGCTGCGCCGCGCCGCGGATACCACCGGAGGATCTGTCGGCCATCTTCATAGATCCTGTTCACGACCGAAACATTCGGTTGGTAGCTCCTTGTTATTTATTTAGGTTAGAAACCTTCGAAACTTACATGAAAAATTCGCTGAACACGTATTTAAATATTAACTTGATTTCCGTGACGCAGTAGATTCTATAGAGAGTAGAAGAATGTACAGACACATCGAATGATGATTAAATGTTTATTAGTTTCTGTGTATAGAGTTAAAGAAGACTAGTGCAGATCCCTCTAAGTTATTAGATTAACGCAGATAAATAAAATTCTTGTCGATACATGGGATATTTATTCGACACTCGGTATATTGAAGTTTATCAACAGTGGCATACAATCTCTAAGAACAGCTCCAAGTGAACTTAATTCAAACTTCAAACAACCGAGTCACAGAGATGTATACTAAACTTTGAATTCTTACAGTTTCTTCAAATAACATTTCTAAAATACAAGAATATCATATCTAACCCTACCAAAATTACATATATATCCAAACTTCGATTAAATCGAACCCGATCAAACCTTTAGCCTAAAGAACGACCTACTTTTGGACCAACCTATAGATCGATGGCGCCCCAAGCGAAATAGCAGTCCTAGTAAAATCGGCAGGCTTCGGCGCGTGAATCCGCCATCGTTGTTCGTATTGCGTGAACGTTTGGAATCGTTTTCACCGAATCGCGCTCGCTTTCCGGCGCGCGGCACTTAACGGACGCGGTACTGACGCGAAGGAAAAGCAACGGTACCGGAGGAGCGGCTCCGGCGACGTAATCAATATTTTTCATCGGACTCGTTTTCTAATCGATTTCCTGGTTCGCGGAACGGACCGGGTTTGCATAACGCTCTGACCAACGTCCCGTTATTACACGGCCAGTCGGGTATACCGCCGTTACCCACGTTGTCTTTTGTTTGACGGCCCCTCCGCCGTTGGTTTTCGCAACCCCGATTTCTTCCTTCGGAAATTGTCACGGCGGCACCCGTTGCGACAGACGTCGAATACCGGACACGGTGCCCGGCATGTAACGTTAGATAAACACACCTTTCGATCGCGTCCAAGGAGCCTGGCCTTGGTCACCGAACGCGTGCGCGCGAGAGTAATGCTTGGCCGAGGCGAGAGCCGACTCCGCCGAGTCGAATTCGATAGTGTATGCACGTATGAAAGTGACCGTTCGATGGCTGCTGCACTCCTACGGGGAACAATTGTGGCGCTGGAGGTATTGTTCGAAGGGACTTAACGCCGAGTGGGGGCGCGGCTTTAAGTCTATTATTTGAGATTTGTGTGTTCGAGGTGGCTGGGATTTACTTTCAAGTGGGCAGAAGGATTCCCTTTGGAGTTAATGTTAAGTAAACAATTCGAGAAGCTGTCTGGATTGTTGTCGAGTGGAGACTCGACGTAAGAGCCCTTCTTGATTTCCAAGTGGATACGCAGGCCAAGAGTCGACTTTTGTTAACGACTCGTGCAGTATGCAGCGTAAAAGCCAGTTTTCAGAGTTAATGTCACCCTCTAGTGTTTTCTCTCAAGTGGATATGCGACTTTAGATCTTCTCCCGGTGGGGACTATCAAGTGGATAGGTAGCATAACAGCTGATTTGTAGAACAGTGCTGTCTGTTCGAGTCTCAGTGTAGGAATAATTGTTGATGTTTATTCTGAAGCGAAGACGTAGCTTAAGATCTCCTCGGTAAAGACTCTCAAATGGACACGCAGCGTAGGAGTTGAACTTTAAAAGAAACCCAGTGCCACCGACTAATGATCGAAGTTTAATTTCAAGTGGATAAGTACCTTAAAACCCTCTCTCGATAAAGACTCTTAAATAGATACACAGCCTAAAAGCCTAATCTTTAAAAGAAATACATCAATTCCTAATCAACCAATCATTAAACTTTAACTTCAAGCGAATATCCTTAACACCCTCTTCCGATAGACTCCAAAACGGATACACAGATACCCTCAACTCAATCCTCAACACCGACCATCGAACCTTTCCCAAGTGAACACGTAGCTCAAAGCCTCTCGATAAAGACTCCCAAGTGTGCCCACAGCCTAAGAAGCAATCTCCAAAGCAAATACGCCAGCCTAGTCCCTATCTTCAACCTACACAAACCGTCGAGGTCTCAACTAGATCCCCAACCCAGGCCAAGTCTATCACTCCAGTGGCCAAACATCCAGTCTACCAACAGTATCAGTCATCCAACTGAAATATACAAGGTACTCACGCGAACAATGCGAGCTTCATGCTGCGGATCAACGAGAACAGGGGTGGGCAGCTACGGACGAGTGCAGGTGTGCTCGGCTCGAAGTCGACGGTGGAAGCAGCGTGTCTCGGGTGTCCCAGTCGCGGGGGATCGAGACGTGGAGGATCGGAACGGACTCTTTCGTTGTTAGCACGTCCGCGACACCGCGAGGAATGGATAATACCGTGAGGGAACCGAACGAAAGCGGCCAACCACCACGCCGACTGCAATCGCGGAGGCTGTGTACTTTGGAGTGCCGCGCCGGGTTTCCCCTTCCCTCTTATATATATTGGCACTCTCACTCGCAGCCGGACAACCACCCGTTCGTTCCGGAGAGAACGAGCCGAACCATCCACCTATGCGTGTGCGATCTCTGATGTGTCCTGGCTAGCGAGGGGGCAACACCGACAATGACGACGACGTCGACGACGACGACGACGACGCTCGTCGTCGCCGTTTCCTCGCGGCCGTGGAATTCCGAATCTTCTCCTTGGCGTCCGCTACCTGTCCACCATGCCGCGAACGAATGACACTGGAATTCCTGGCGAGCCGAGGTTTATGGGCTAGCCGAGCGGAGGATTTCAGATTCGATTTCATCGCGTTTGATTCGTCTTGCGTGCTGGGGACTGCGGCTGGGTACAGGAATCCGGGATTTTGCGCCTACGGATGCGATGGAATGAGGATTTCCGTTGGTCTGGTGGGTGGCGAGTTTGGTTTCGATTAATTCTGTGTGGATGGTATGGGTTGAAATGCAGTTTCATGTTGATTCGATGATTTGGATTATTGCTGGGGTAGTTCGGTATGGCGATCTTGAGATTGAAGCATGTTATTGTATGTATTATTGTTTAGGTTGGTTTAGACCTATCGCTGGTTGAAATCCATCGAATACTATTTTGACGGAATCGTTAAAGATAATGGCAGTCCTGGTAAGCTTGTGTTTATGGGTTTGAGTGGAGGATTCCGACGTCCGTTTCAGTGGATTATTCTCCTGTTTGCTCTTCTCGTTTTCTTACGATGCGCTCAGGTTGTTTGTCCGTGGTATTCCTGGAGATCCTGAATCTATAGCACATTGGAAACAGAATTTTATCTGTACGTTGGTGTTATTTGAGATTTTGGAAGTGGTATTAATGGGTTTAAATATGCTTCGATAATTGTCCACGATATTTTAAACCCATCACTACTCACCCCTCGAATCTGAGTAAAAACAATTCAATTGTCTGAAATGTAAAGATTGTTCATCGACATATTCAAGATGGACAACTGTACTTAAAGTGATCGAATCTCAATTTTTAATTATCACTTCCAACCATAGTTTTCGAGGCAGTATTGTAGTTTTTAAGACAATATTCTATTGCAATTTTTAAAGCGATATATTGTAGTTCCCAAGATAATGTACTGTAATTCTTAAACTGATCCATCGCAGTTTCCAAGATGATATATTTCAGTTCCCAAGACAATACACTATAGTTTCTGAAACGATCACGATATTCATTCTTAAAACCCACAGTCTTTATCCATCTCAAACACACTAAAAAGAAACTAAACATCTGACTTAACCCGTTGACTGCCAGAGTTTCGAGCGCTTTGTTATAAGATTTATTCCTTTATAATAGAGGAAAATAGTATTAGAAATAATTATTAACGTTTTGATATTACAATACTCACATTACACTATCATCTAGCTTCTTGTGTTACTAAATGTTCTGCTTCAATACCAATTATCTTATAAAAACTGTCTCCAAGCAATTAGGAAGCTTCAGTCACCGGTAACCACCGTGGCAACGTGTTAACATTGATATATTCCCCTTAACCCCTATACTGCTCGCCATTTCTTAAACCCATCACTACTCACCACTCAAATCCCATCAAAGCCCATTCAAGCCTTCAACCTTAAAAAACACTATTCTTTAGAAAAACTCAGATATATCCCCAATATAACCCTGATATATCCTTTCGTTATTTGCATACCGCTCTACCGGGTGTCCCGAGAGACCCCGTAAAAATCGAATTCGTTCCCCCAGAGTGCTGGGAATCGAATCGATGCCCTGGTCCGCCGAAACGAAACCGAGAGCCGGAGCTTTGGACGTGTTTTATAGTTAGATCGAGCGTCACCGGTGAAAGTAAACGACACGGTATCGCGGCCCCGTGGCCGAGGAATGTCGGAGGAGACACCCTGCTGTCCGCGATGCCCTATCCGTTTGAATCCTCCGCGGATTCGGAACATTTAGCAACGGAGAACAGATGAAACAGAAAAATTGATCATCAATGAGAATGCACCCTGAGTTGGAAACCGTAGGCCTTTGTCCGCATGATAAAATCAATTCCAGACGGGTCGAGCCGCCGGGAGCCGCGACGCCGCGCATCCCAGAGACATTCAGAATCTTCCGTGTGTAAATGTCAAAAGGTATTATTGCGGCAAGTGCGATTACGCGGCGCACGTTTCTCGGATCGTTTGCCTCGCCGGCATCGTTTCATGGAGAGGAACTCCGTGGTGCCTCTCCGTTCCCTTTGCTCGTTGCTTGGTACCTTGAAGCTTTCGGCTTTCCATGTAACGGGTGTTTTAGAAGAAACCACTCTATGATAGACACTGTGGATTTGTATTATTTGTGCTTCTTAGGAATTGCATATTGTATTGTAACGAATTGGTTCTGCATGGAATTGCGTATTGTTTTGAAGTGATCCAAGCTTTTATATACAGGGCGTTTCAGAAAATTTCATTTTGTCACCTTTGATCTCTGGGATTGAATGTGGGTTTTATTGGTTGAACATTGTTTTCTTTTAATTCGTTATTGTCTTATGGAGGGGTTACATTTTTTGTAATTTGATTTGTAATGGTTTGGGTTTTCATGTAACGGGTGTTTTAGAAGAAACCACTTTGTGGCAGCCAGTGTCGATTTGCATTGTTTGCTCTTTTTAAGAATTGCATATTGTTTTGTAAGAGGTTGGTTTTGCTTGGGATCATGTATTGTTTCGAAGTGATTCAATTTTTTATGTACAGGACGTTCCAGGAAGTTCCATTTTGTCACCTTTGATCTCTGGAATTGAATGTGGGTTTTATTGGTTGAACATTGTTTTCTTTTAATTGGTTATTGTCTTATGGAGGGGTTACATTTTTT